TTTTTTTTTTTTTTATTTTGTTTGGCAGCCGCACATCCTCCTTCTCCCTTTAAAAGGAGGAAACTAGGGTTTTGTTAAATTTGGGTTTTGATGGGCTGCTCAATATTGGGCTAGGCTTATGAGTTTATTTTAGTAAATTTCATCCTCAGCTTTTTAATTTTTTCAATTGAGTCCTTTTCTTGTTTTTTTTTCTTCAACTTCTCCCCAAAATTTTTTATAAATTTTTTTTATAATGATAAATCCGAAACAGTACGCGAAAAATTTCGATATCTGGTATGTATTGTTCTAATAACAAAACTGGTACGTATGCCGATACGGTATTGACTACTTTGGTGTCGATACATAATTTGGGAGTCGACACCATGCGTTAATCGTCTAGCATCAAACTTTCTATTTCCTGTTTTGTGTCGACACGTAATTCGAGGTGTCACACCATACGTTCAGTGTCCAACATTCAAGTTTCCTATTATGTTTCAAATCCTACTTCTATTCCAATTAAGGTTTCTAAAACCTTATAACTAGCCATCCAAATTCAAAATTAAGAGAGCTTTATGGAGGCTGGTGGCAGACCTTTTTTGGGTATTCTTGAAGATCAAGAGAAAGGATTCAACAATAGAAGATCAAGGATTGCAATTTTCTCAAATTGGGTTTTAGTCTTTCTTGTTATTCTTATGTTCATAACTATGATTTTAGATTTTATTATTTTTATTATGAATTGGTTTATTCTACTATGGTTACGATGTAGCTTAATCAATTCAATATAGATTTTGTGATTTTATGCTTTCAATTAAAGTTATTTGCATGAGGAGTTTATATTATTGAATTTAATGCATTAGAAGCCTGATCATTTTTCGATTGATTTAGTGATTTATGCATGAACTTAAGAAAGAATTGTATAAATTAAACCAATAATAATATAAATCGTGTGCACCGAGAGCTAATTAACTCACATGTGGTAGTGGAGGAAGAAAAGAGAGTTAGCAACTCCTCCTTCTTAAACTAGTGGTTTCCATAGAATTTAATACTCATTAGTTTGTTTAAAATTATATAGAGATATGATTAATTTAACAAACAAGTGAAGGATTAACTTGACTTGAAAAAACTAATTAATTAATTTAGAAAAATCCACTATCGCATGCAATAACACTCAACAAATTAGCATATTAATCTAGAATTTATATTGCTTGATTATGGTAAAATCAATGTCTTACTACCTCATATCTTGGTTAGTTTAAATTTAATTGTTATTTTCCTTTTTATTATTTTGTAGTTAAACTTTCTTCCTTTTCAATAGTTCAAATAAATTTAGATTAATTATTTTGATACTTAATTAGACACAATTCTCGTGGATTCGATACTCTCTCATCGTTATATTACTTGGAGCGACTAATGCACTTGTTAAAGTGATTTTAGTGCATTAAGTTTTTGACTTTGCTCGTGGCCTGCCGTTGGCACCCTCTTCTTTGCTCTAACCAATCTGACAACCCAAAGTTGTTTTTTATTACTTGAAACATACCACACTTTGTAGGGATAACGGTGAGAAATTAATTTTTTAAATATATAAATTAATGTAAAGTGTATTTTTAAAATTATTTAAAAAAAATTAATTTTAAGATGTATTAGAAGTGTTCTAACTATAAATTTAAAAAATAACTAAAAAATTAAAAAGTATTACAAAAGTTAAAAGGCCAAAGTTAGAGCAAATAAATTAGTAGTTTTAATTTTTAACGTTACATTTTTTAATTTGATAAATTTTACCCATATTTCAAATTTCTTATAATTATCTTATGGATTCTAATTCAACTTTTTGGCTGAAATTTTATTCAAAGAACAATTCTACAATTAAAAAGTATTACAAAAGTTAAAAGGCCAAAGTTAGAGCAAATAAATTAGTAGTTTTAATTTTTAACGTTACATTTTTTAATTTGATAAATT